GACGGAATAAGAAGGAAAAACTAATGATTTCCAAGAATCAGCCAATTAAACCTCATGGCTCACAATGGTCCTATCCCACTGCACAGGGATCACCAGGAGTTAGTGGCTGACTTGACAGCACCTAATAACAATAGCAACAATATCCTCTGGATTACATATTTATGGACCGCTGGGGGAAAGCCTGGAATACAACCATGGGTAGGTAGGGGCATGGGAGCACTTTTGGGTTCTGAGCACGTTTCTTGAAGCCCAGGGATCAAACCTGGAGAACTGAGGTAGGGTTGGCAAGCTAGGTAGCTAGCAATCTCTTCATCCCTCCCCTACCCGCAGTAACCCACCATCAGGAAGTATGATGGAGTTTCCCAGGAACCTAGCAACAATTGATTGTGGAGCAAAGCAAGTTGCAATTGGGTACCCAAAGGTAGGTTCTTTCCTGTAGTGCTAGGAAAGCTAGCTGTTAAGCTATTTGTAAGCAGAGTCAAGATGAGCCCCAGAGTTTTTATCAAGATGCCAATTACTTTTCTCTTCATCACTGCCCCTAAGAAATCACAAAGAAAGAGTGGGCCTCATGCCATAGTCACAAATCTTTGGACTTTGAGAGTCAGTGTGTGAATGATGGAGCAGTTAGAAGCCCAGGGAGATGCTAAGTGGGCAGAGAGGAGAAAGACTATCATTGTCCTAAGGGAGGAGAAAACTGGGTAATGAATAAGGAAGACTGAAGAATCGATGCCTTAGAATTAAGATATTGGTGAAGAAGATTGAGTATACCATGAACTCCCAGAAAAACAAACAAACCTGTCTTGGAAGAAGAACAGCCAGAATGTTCCTTAAAAGCAAGAATGGCAAGACTTCAACTCATGGACTTCGGGCATTCAGGGACCAGATAACCCTGGAGGAGGACATCGTGCTTGGTAAAGTCGAAGAAGACCCTTGATGAGGTAAATTGACACAGTGACTGTAAAAATGGGCTCAAATCAATGGGTCTGAGGATGGTGCAGGACCAGGCGGGGATTCATTCTGTCACCCACACAGTTACTAAGAGTTGGAACTGACTCCACAAGACTTAATAACAAGGAAGCAGCCATGACCTCAGGCATCAGGTGCCCAAAGTAAATCCTCACCCTCCTCCTCAGAATAAGACCTGTCCTGGGTATGGCAGAAATCATCCCAGAATCCAGACAAGCTTAACAACAACAACCTAGATGATACTGATTACGTGTGTCACACAGAAGCCACCTTCATTCAACCTGTGTTCCTGAATGATTCCTCACAGCAATGACTGTGAGGATGGAGCAGGACTAGGCAGTATTTCATTCTGTTGCACATAGGGTCTCTATGAGTCAGGGCTACCAAATTTGGACATGTAGCATGAACAAGGAATAAACTTTTCTTGTGTTAAAAGTTCTGAGATGTTCGAGTTGCTCATTACTACAGCATATCCCAGTATATCCTGTCTTTTCAGCGATTTGAAAGGGAAAGAAACCAGGTCTTCTTTTTTTTTTTTTCTTAAATGTTTTATTGTGAATTATGTGATAGTTTGTTTACATGGGAGAACATTAGTTTTACATTCATTCTATCGTATATTGTCTCATTGCCATGGTAACAATCCCCTCCATGCAATCCTTACCCCGTACCCCCCCAAGTCTTCAGCACACAGTCGCTCTCCCTCTCTGGATCTAAAGTCTCCAGCTGCTCCATTGCTCCACATCATCATCTCTGGCTCCATTTCAGGCATCACTGCTTCTCTGGGTAGGGTCCCACTCTCCACTCTTCTCCCTTGATGGTCCTAGGGACCTCCGCTCCTAGACTGAAAAGTTAATCACTCCCCTCTTTGCTATAAAACGTCTACCTTTATGTTTCTCACCCTCACAATCAGTCCTGATAACAATTATTCACTATTGTATCACAAGAGACCTGTCTGCATTTCATTGCATCAGCCCCGCCTAGTCAGATTGAATACTACTCACTGGAGATTCTACCTTCCTCCAGGCCCTCTGGATCTAAGTTCCCTCTTGAAAGCTTGTAAGCCAGTCACTTCTTGCCTTTGTAGCTCCCCGCCCCCCATTTTGGGTAGCCAATGTCCAAGTTGCCCATCCCTGTCTACTCTGTGTGTGGAAGGGGTGGGAATGATTCTTGCTGTAAGGACTTGTTCCCTCTTTTGAGCTACTGCTTCCATAGGTGTAGGTCCCAGGTCTTCTTTTGAGATGTGTATCTCTGAGGAAGGAGTTAGATGCTTAACTACTAACCAGAGACTTCCGAGTAAAAAGATCTGGTGATCTGAAAGCTCACAGCCTTGAAAACTCTAAGGAGCATAGGTTTGCTTTGCGACACTTGAGGGTGTCAGCAGCTGAAACTGACTCAAAGTCAACTCGTTTGAATTTTTGTTTTGTTTTTTAGTTTATCTATGAGGTACAATGATTAACAAAGAAGTGGCATTAAGGGACATTTTCCACATCACCAAAGATTGTGGATATTAGAGAACTAGCCAGACAAGAAGGGAATGTGTGTTCTGTGGGAAAGTAATATAGATGATATGTACATTGATGTGCTCTGCACCTCACAGTGATCATGGGGCTAGAACAATGCTGCACCTCCTTAGGTATATTGCTTTTTGCAGGCTGGGCTCCAGAAGCAGGTGTTGAAATAGAGATTAGTGTTCTGGAGGTTTATTAGGCAGTGCTCTTAAATTAACACCTGTGGAAAGGTGGCGGTGAGTAAGAATGGGCAAAGGGAGAAGTTGAACTTCAGTGACAGTCTCAGTGGAAGTCTCTGCTAACCCTGCAGGACTTCTGAAGCTGGGAAGATGCTTCAGGGCTGACCCTAGTTGGGACAGGAGGCTAGGTTTATACTTCTACGCTGAGAAGTCACTAATGTGGTATGGCCACTGACTAATAATCACACACGATAATGCACCAATTTACAGTGAAATTGTGCGCTACAGATTAGTAAAGGAGCACAACTAAGCACATGCATTCCTTGTTTATTGGGTAATCCATGCCTGGTGGTGCTACAGGAGGGGTGTGTGGTTCCAGGGAAGGTGGCTTTCTTCAGCTGAGGCAATCCCCAAAGGAAACTAGGATGTCCCGATCTGGGGCTAGGGGCAGCTCTTAAGATAAAAGGCAAGAGCTCAGTAGAGCTACCGCAGCAGCAGAGAAATTTTGGAGAGGTAGGTACTTATCCTCTCCAAAGGTGAACTCTCTCTCAAGAGAATCGAAATTAACTGAGAATTATGATTTATCCTGGAGGCTTAGCTATGTTGCTGGAAATCTGAGCTGTCCCCAAAAGGCTTGACCAATGGACTAGAATTTGGTGACACTGGCAATCCTTCTTTCCCAGCTGAAGAACTAAACCAGTTGTCCTCTGGTTCATGCAACTCACAGCGATCTTCTGCAAGCAGACTAGAGCTGTGCTCCATAGTGAGTTCATGGCCATGCATCTTTGGAAGCAGATAGCCAGGCCTTTGTTTCAAGATGCCCCTGGATGAGTTTTGACCATAAACCTTTCAGTTAACAATAGTGGAGTGCTTGACTCAGGGACAAACATGGGGTGGACAGGGTGGAGCTAAGGGAAGAATTGGAACTTTGAGTCAGCTGAGTGTGATCAGGATTCTACTACTTGCTCTGTCAACCTGGACTTCTCTAGGCCTCAATTTTCCTGTCTGTAAAATGGAATTTTGCAGGATTTTTAAGAAGACTAAACAAGATCATGTATGTTAGTGTAGTAGTTTGATACAAGACTCACTTCCCTACCAAACTCACCCTAAACTCACTGCCATAGAATAGATTCCCCTACTTTTCTAAAAACTGAGAATATGAAATTACTGTAACAAGGGCTTATGATCATTATGATCATTACTGTAACAAAGCCTTATGATCATTAACTACTTAGTCTCTAAGAATTCACATTAAAAATAACTAATGTCAAAATACTAACTCAGGTTTTGGAATGTGCTAATCTGCTAAATGAATGCATTTGAAAATAAATAACGTATATATGCCATTTTAAATGAGTCATTTCTATGAAAGACACGCACCTCAGGGAAACTATTGGTTTTACCATCTTGGTAACTTACTGGCTATTTTACAGAGCCTGAAGCAGTGGATAATAAGATCAAGCAAGTAAAATCTTGCTTGCCATTGTGCTGGGTGTGGGGGAGCAGTGAGGGGCGTTAGGGCAAATGGCATAGTTTGCATTCCCCACCTCTACCAGCTAGGTGTGGGAGCCAGAATTAGCTCTTTGCTAACTTTTTGGAGATTTCCTCTCTCTCTCATTCCAGGCGAACATTTTGGGTTAATTTTTCTAAATCAGAGGCAAAACAAACTACATACGCATCTCTGGAGGAAAATGTCTGTATTAAAAGCCAAAAAAACACAGTACAAGAAAAAATGCCGACGAGGCAACGTCACTGGGTATATTGACTTGGAAAAAGGTTCATAGAGTTCATTTTCAGCAATAATAGATCGGTGTTAAATGCTGCCCATGCCCCCCCCCCGCTTTAAATAATTAAAAAAACAAAAACAAAAACACAACAAACTTCAAATACAATATTCGGATACAAAGGGCTTCTCTCACTACAGCAAAAGCAATTTGATCTTTTTGTTGTTTTGTTTTGTTTTTTACTAAAACTTTCATTTAAAACAGTTATTAAATATATAAAACAAATACACAGGATTTGGTCATTTTTCTGAATACAGGATGTGGGAGCAGGGAAGGAAAATGGGAGAGGGAAGCAAAAGAGGGAATAGGTCCCCATTACCCTCCTTTCTGTCTTCAAAGCTGCGGATCCCACAGTTCAGTCTCGGCTCACTCATACCTAGCTATTCTGGAGAGAAGCGCAGTACAGACCTTGCTTTGCAAACACCCTAGGACCATTCTGGCGACCCCCCTCCCCCGGAGGAACTAACGGTCACTACAGCACGAAGCACACCGGCCAAGTCTCCCGGCGGGAAAGGCACCCGAGAGCGCGGACACAGCACGGACGCACGGAGGAGCGGAGTGGGTCATTTGGTCGTCGTCCCCGAAGTGACGGCAGCGGCAGCAGCAGCGGCCGCAGCGGCCGCGGCGGCCGCGGTGGTCCCCGCCGGCACTGCAGCGGGGGCGGTCGCGGCGGCGCTGGCGGTGGTTCGACGCTGCTCCATACCGTTGGGCAGGAAGCCGGCGATGATGGGCACCGGCCAGATGAGGGCGGCCACGCTCCACACGACAATGACCAGGGTCATGAAACAGGCCACCAGCGTGGACTCGATTGGCTTGCGGTTCAACCGCCAGCCCGGTTCGCCCTGCAGCTCCTCCAGGCTGAAGTCCAAGCAGCAGAAATGGAGCGGCTCGCCCTGCAGCCACAGAGGCCCAGGGGGCTCGGCCGCGGGGTAGGCAGGCAGCGCGGTGGGCGCCCCCGCGGCGGGCCGGAGGGGCCCCGGGCGGCGGCCGCGCACCCAGCCGCAGCCCACGCAGAGGCGCAGGTCCTGCTGCGCGCCTCCAGCCGCCAGCCCCAGGTGCTCGATGACCAGCGGCGGCCCGACGCGGTGGAAGGCGGCGGCGAAGAAGGCGCGGCCGTGAGCGTTGGTGGAGAAGAGCAGCAGGTCGCACTGGAAGCCTCGCGGGCTGCCCCAGCGCACCAGCAACGAGCTCAGCATCTGCCGCTGCACGCTGATGTTGCACGGCGCTGCCGCCGCCTCTTCTGGGCCTGGGGATTCCGGAGACCCCGGGGCCACCGAGGCCAGCACCCGCGGGGCGAGAGGCTCGCTCGGGGACGACCCGTTGACCGAGGCGTTTGGGGGCGACCCGAGGAGGCCCGGCGCGTCCGCAGCCCCGCCGCGGGCGGGCGGCAGCGGGCAGGCGGCGGCCAGCAGCGCGGCTAGCAGGGGCAGCATGGCCTGCCGTGGGCGCCTACGCGCGCGGGGCCGGTGGCGGCGGTGGTTGCATGGTGCGAGAGCGACGGGCCAGCAAGCAGACGGCGGGCCGGTGGTAGGACCACGGGGGCCGGTGGCTGGGAGAAGTGCGGGCGCGCCGGGCGGTGGCGGCGGCTCCTTTCCCGGTCAGTGCTGCGTCTGGGGTTCCCCGCCGCCCCCGGCGCCGGGCCCCTCTGACGGCTCGGCAGCTCTGCGGGGCCCGACGCTAGCCGGGAGCAGGATTCCCCGGCTCGACTCCGCCTCTCCCGCGCCCCTCCCCGCCCCGTCCTGTCCCGCCCTCCTCTGGCCTGAGCTCGGGAAGTTGGGGAGGCGGGGTTGGTTTCACACGCAGAGGCGGGGAGAAGCGGGGGATCCGGCGGGATGCAGGGCGGTGAGCGGGGGTGGGACTCCGAGGCAGGCGTGCGGGCCCGGCTGGGCGGAGCTGGGAGTCGCAAGGAGGGGATGCCACGAAACGTCTGGGTGTTGGAGAAGCTGGGGTACCCGCTCTAGCAGCTAGAGTCTCGATCCATGCGTAGAAGACTGAACAAATTGCGTCCTCGGGGAGAAGCTGGAAGGGCGAGACGACCCCTTTTGTCACACCTGAGAGGAGCTTGCGAGGTGGTCTCGTCATAGCGTTCGCCTGGTCCCCTTTTGTCCCTCGTTTTACCGAAAGGAAAATTGAGGCCGAGAGAAGGAACAGGTTTCTCAGGGCCACTTCGGGAACCAGAATTCGGAGCCACGAGCTTTTCTCGCCTTTCTTCGATGTCTTTTTAAAATCTCAAATCTGGAGAGTTTGGCTGGTGTTTAATGCGGCTCCTGTACCCATTTGGTATTCTCCTCACAACAAGCGCACACTGAGGAAAATTCCAAGAACTCAGTGGAGTTTTTGGGTATAGAGTGGTTGATGGGAACGTGAGCCCTTCTTCTCAGGGACCTGATAGAGAATTTCACTCTCAGAAAATCCCAATCATTAGGCGCTGAGCCATTGCCTAATGATTGGGACGGATCATGTATCTATGAAGGAATTGTCTGTAGAATCCATGTCAAGGGAATGTTCATTCCTATTGAAATATTACAGTGGAAGACTGCTAGGAGTTACAGACCAAGATCAGATTTGTATTTTAAAACATTTTAGTAGTAAGTTGGCCTCTTACGCTTACTGAGGGGGAGGATCAAGGACCCTTCTCTTTTTTGAGAATGCAAACAATTGTTTGCATTGTTAGAAAACAATACTTGAGTATTTCTAAGACAAAGAAAGAAGCTCCATTGGATTTGAAACCCCAGTGGTTTGAAGTCATTGTCTTCCTTGACAATGTGTCAGTGAGAGGAAACAAGCTGTCAAAAAAGATGGTCCTCCTTCCAAACCAGCTGACCATTGAGAAGTAGCTGCAAAGTACAGAATTGCATTGCTAGGCATGGTGGTTGATTACAATATAGTCGTTCTCTATTGTTTTCTAACAATAAGAAAAAAAAAACTGAGTTGTGGAAGGTGTCGAAACAGACTCACAATACAAGACCCAAACTTACCTGGTTTCTTTTCAGCGTGCATTTGTAGCTGTGCATTTATGCTGATGTGACCTCATTCCCTTCCGGAAAGTGGAGTCAGTGGTACTTGTTTTGCAGGGATGCTGTAATGGTAAATGCATGCAAGTCAGTTCGCTCGGTCCAGAGTGGGCTCATATGGTGGCTGGCTATGAAGTAGTCACTATCAGTCTAGCCCAAGCTGCCTGTCCAGAGTGGTCCTTTATCTCTACAGAAAGGTTTAATTCCATGTGATGCTGTAGGATAAGCACTGGATTGCTAACCACAAGACTGGTTGTTCAAATCCACCAGTCACTGCTTGGAAACACTGCTTGGCTATGAGTCAGAACCAACTAGATGGCACTTACAATGACAGAAGGAGGGGATGGACTCCTCTTTTGTTTAATCTTCCCCATTTTTCTGACAGGAAATGGTACAAACTACCTGAAAAGACAATGTGGATTTCATACTTTTATAAAAATGACTTCTCCTTTTAGGTTTATCAGGAAAGTCTGTTCTTGATGTGACTTAAAGGTTTGTTTAGTCTGAGCTGTGTGGCTGGCGAACAACTCACAACACAGCTGATGGTCTGATGGTCCCAAGAGCTGAGAAAATCCCAGTTTTCAAGGAGTGCATTTGAGCCAGGCTACAGTTCTCAACAAGGAGCTCTGGTAGCGTAGTGGTTATGAGTCGGGTTGCCAACCTTAAGGTCAGCAGTTCGAAACTACCAGTGGTTTCGCGGGAGAAAGTTGAGGCATTCTGCTCCCATAATGATTTACAGTCTCGGAAACCCTGTGCAGGGTCACTATGAGTCAGAACCAACTCCACGGTACTTAACAACAACAGTTCTTGACAGTAGGTGGCACTCTCTGAGGTTTTAATCAGAGGCCAGGACTTCCAGAGCCCACCTAGGGCTTGCCTGGGCTAGTCTGTGCAGCAGAGAGGAAGGAGTTGGGATTTGCTTAGGAAGCCAAGCAACTGGCTGAAAGGTGGTATCACATTGTGAAGTGTCTCAGCAAACTAGGATCCTGCCTATTTTTCCAGCATGTTCCAAGATTCAGCCACCTTGCCCCCATTCTGGGGTAACGAATTACACAGTTCCTGTATTTGCTAGAGAGATTTGCTGTCCTTTTGGACAACTGGAATACTTGAAAATTTAGCAACTAAGTTATTTTCTGTCTTGTTTACTGTTACAGGAAAAGTACCAGTTGACATTGAGTTGGTTCCATCTTGAAGACGCCATGTGTGCAGAGCAGAACTGCTGCATAGGCTTTTCAAGGCCTTTCTTCCAGGATGCCTCTGGGTAGGTTCGAACTGCCAACTTTACAGCTCTTACTCAAGCCCTTAATCATTTGTAGAATTGCCATGAATTAGAAAGGACTTGGCAGCAACTAATTACAACAGCACCACACCACTTTGTGCTCTTCTCATCAGCTTAACAGGATTAGGAAGGGCCAGCCAGGGTCATAGTGTGCTCAGCATGTAGCTATCAAGGACCTGAGTCTGCCTGTTGCTTAACTCGGCCTGATCTCTGATGTTGTTACTAAGTGCCATCGATTGGGTTTCAACCCATAGTGACTCTGTATAGGGTTTCCAAGGAGTGGCTCATGAGCTTGAACCGCCATCCTTGTAGTTCAAACCGTCTTTGCAGTCTAGCACATTGACCCACAGCCTGAGCTATAGACCTCTTCCTAAGACTCATCTCCATCTCCAATCACTCCCCTTCCACTTGTCCTCTCTGTGCAAGGCAGCATTACTTCCTTGTGCCCAGAGAAAACTCTGAAGTCCAAACTGAAGGCCTTGCTTGGTCCTTGCTACTTCCTTTGTCAGGGCCACACTGCCTTACTACCTCCCTTGCTTCTTTCAGATCTCGGCTCAAATGTCACTTTTTCAGTGACCTTTCCTGACCACCCATTCCCACCCTCCCTGTCCTCACAGTGCCTCATTCTGCTTCTTCCAGGTGTTTGTTAACAGCTGACATACTCTGTTTTTCTTATTTTGCTGTCTCTCCCTTTATTAAAATGTTTGCTCCCTGAAACGGAATCTTTATCTGTTTTATTCAGAAGACTAGTTAGTCCATGCACACAGTAGGGACTCAAGAAGCAGTTGACAAGTGAATGAGTGGATTCAGTAGGCTGCGTCAGTCTACTGATTTGGTGTGAGGCATGTAAGCTGATGCTACATGAATTGCCATGGAGAAAGATCCTGAGGAGCCTAGAGTTTCCTTATTTGGGTTGTAAGCAAGGAAAGTTCATGAGACCCTTACCATTTCCCCACATCTTGTGATATTTAGCAAATGAATGCAAGTCTTTGATAAATCCCAATACTTCGTCTATAAAACACAGACAAGGAATTTTTCTACCTGGACTGCATTGTTAGAAAACAATACTTGAGTATTTCTAAGAAAATAACCAGTAATGAATGTACAGTGATTTCATTCTCTTCATTTCTTACATCTCTCACTGGGATTAGCTAATTTTTTCCTTTTACTGGGTTATTTGAATTCCTTTCTGTCAATTACCTCAGAATGCCACAGCTACAGAAATTTGTTAGTCTCCTCTTATTATGTAGGTGGAATTGGGGTATTATTATTATGCTTTGCAGACTGAGAAATAAGCAAGAAGCAGAGTAGGACCATAAAAATAGGATACAGAAAAGGAAGGGTTCGAAACCAGTGGCTCAACTATATCAGAGTCATAACATGGTTGTTAAATGCTGTCGAGTTGGTTCTGACTCATAACAATCCTGCATAGGATTTCCGAGGAACAGCTGGTGACTTCGAACCGCCAACTTTGCAGTTCAAACTGACCCTTAGGTCCAGTGTATTATCCTGCAGTTATGACATTTATGTTGGTGTGTATGTATGAGGAATGGTAGTTAGTAATTAGGAAATCATTTTCATCCTATCGCCCTAAAAAAATCCCATTCCTCAGAGGGGAAAATAGAGGACTCATCAGTGGAGCAAAGGAAGAATTGGATCTCTGCTAGTGGGCACTGGATGGAGGTCTGAAAGCCTTGTTTTGGGTTGATTAGACCCTAAAAAGACACCTGTGGGTGGTACAAATGTCTAAGTACTAGACTACTAGCTAGACGGGTAGCAGTTCAAATTTACCCAGAGGTGCCTACGAAGTAAGGTCTGGTGATCTGCTTCGGAAATGTCACAGCCTTGAAAACCCTAGGGAACAGTTCTGCTCTATAAACATCAGTTGGAATCTACTCGAAGGCAACTAACAACGCCATAGACTCTGAAACTCCCTTGTCCTTGGCTTCCATGCAGCGTAGCAATCCCCAAGACTGTCTCAGTCTGATTTCTCGGCTGTGGCATTTACTCCTCCTGACCACAGTGATCAGAAGGGAAATTTGTCTCTGCAGAGTTCTGGTAGCAATTAGAGTCAACACAATTCATTTGGTAATTAATTATGGGCAGCTTTGGGAAAAGGCTACTATTGCCAGCTTAAGTT